CGAAGTTGTCTACTTTTTCAAACTTGTAACTGTCAACAGTGACGTGGCTGCCAAGACGCGTATGCTCTGGATGTTTGTGTGATGACAGGAGATACTTCATTTTGTCCTCGTTCACCACCAGACCCATTCGCTTTGCTTCTCTATCCAATCCCGAGAAGGCAGAACGGACGTAGCCCTTGTTTTTACCGATAATATCAATGTCGTCGGAATACGCCAGCAATTTTACGCTCTTGTAAAGTATTTTGCCAGAGCGGTTCAGTTCTGCGGCTCTTTTTATCTTCTCTAATATCAGATTAAAGAAATCACACGAAAGCGAGTCCCCTTGTCTGAAACCTCGCTTGGTATCAAACGGCTCGGAGAGGTATCTCCATATTCTGACGGAGCTGGTGGTATTGCTCTACGTCATTTTACACAGCCGTATTATTTTCGCGGGGATACAAAATTCAGACATCGCGGCATAAAGGCAACTCCTCTTCGGGCTGTCGAAAGCGGCTTTGAAACCGACAAATAGATGGTGTGTGTCGATCCTATTTTCGCGGGTATTTTCCAAGATTTGGCGTATTGTGAATACCTGTTCTATGGTGGATTTGCAAGGCCTATAGCCACACACTGATAAGGTGCAATCAGTTCGTTGACGGTGGGCTTCTGTCTTTCGCACAATACACTCGATACGACCTTATAAACGCTTAGACGGCTGATTCCGAGGTAGTTGGCGCGAATGGCGGGGTCGCCTTTCTTGTGGATTGGGCAGAGCACTTAAATTCTAGTCGTCGAGCATGCGTTCATCTGATCATATTCTGCATACGAGCTGATGCATGCACCTCATCAGCTCCTCGCCGCCGTACTTGAATAGCTCGGTTGGCAGGCCTTCAGCTCCAGCACCTTTGTTGTTTTTCAGCCGGATAATCGCTATTCATACCTCGTCGTAGTCAGGCGGTGGGACAGCTACTCCATCATCATCGACTGGGGACTCGGGTTCGTCTTCTCCACTGCTTTCAGTGACCCCTCCACATTTGAAGTACATTGTGGACATCGGTCACTAGGTCGCCATTGTTGTTCTTACAGGAGTTCGCCCTGGTCTTGAAACCTTCTGGTAAAATTTTCGGGAGCATTTCAAGCTCTTCGCACTCACGTATTTCGGCCTCTCTCTTCGTATTGCGGCAAATACGTCTCGCTTCCTTCTTCAGTTCCATATTACGGTCCCACATGGCTCACGTTGCGCCCAGTTGCAGCGTGGCCCTATAGGCGGCGTCTTTTTTCTCTGTGGCTTCTTGACATTCCTCATGGTACCAGTTGTTCTTTCGTGCTCGCTGAAATCCAACTACTTCTTCGGCGGCGGTACTTAATGATAGGGAAATGTGGTTTCACTGCTCACGTATGTCGGATTTTTGAAGAGTGATCTCAGAGAGCAGGTGTGTGAGTCGAGTGGCGAATAAATTGGCTATCTGTTGTGGTTGCAGCTTTTCGACGTTAACGTTTCCTTGCATTTTTGGCGCACATTTTTTGCTGCACAGAGGCGGGTGCTCATCTTGGCTGCAACAATATGGTGGTCCGAGTCGATGTTTGGCCTTCGGAATGTACGTACGTCTAAAACGCTGGAAGCATGTCTTCCGTCTATTACACCATGATCGATTTGGTTTCTCGTTTTTCGATCTGGAGACAGCCATATACCTTTGTGGATGTTCTTATACTGGAACCAAGTACTACATATTACCATGTCTCGGGCCCCGGCGAAGCCGATCAGCCTCAGTCCGTTATCGGACGTTTCGTCGTGGTGGTTGAATTTTCCGACAGTGGGACCAAAGATCCCTTGCTTGCCCACCTTGACATTAAAACCGCCGAGCAAGATTTTGACATCGTGTCGGGGGCAGCGCTCATATGTTCGTTCCAAGCGCTCATAGAAGAGATCCTTGGACGCCTCGTCCTTCTCTTCCGTCGAGGCATGGGCGCAGATTAGCGAGATGTTGAAAAATTTAGCCTTTATGCGGATTGTGGCTGGACGTTCGTCCACCAGGGTGAACGCCAGTACTCGGCGACAGAATCTCTCCCTCTACCACAAATCCAACACCGAATTTGCGCTCCTTTGCGTGGAAACTGTAGTAGACGCCGGAAGGCTTCACACTTATTTTTCTTGCCCCGTTCATCGAATTTCTTGGATGGCTGTGATGTCAGCCTTTGTCTTCCCGAGGACATCAAACACCGGGCACCTTCCCCATTAAGGGTCCGGATATTCCAGGTACATACCCTCAAATCATAGTCCTTTGTACGTTTGCCGTTGTCGTCATCAAAAAAAGGGGGTCTCATCCGAATTGGAATATTTCATTGGGCGGGGTTTTAGCGTGTCGGGACCCAAACCCAACGCAAGCGAAGTTTTACGCCTTCTCACTTTGGCTCGATCCCAAACGGCTGTTTGGTTGCTACCCAGAGGATACGTGGATATAAATATCGGGACGTTGTGAGCTGCGGTTTGATCCGTACGCACAAGAATCGCTTCTGGCCACTCCCAGGTGAATTGCCGTCAAAAGTTTTTCACTTCTGCGCACGGAACCATCCCCCATACAAAATTACTTCCAAATACATAATTACTTCCAGTTAAAATAGGTTTGCCTAGAATTAAGATAATTTTGGATTTGACTCTCTATATCCCTATGACCGGGAACCCAAATGAGGTTCAGACTCTTCTACTTAGCCATCTCGGCGGCAGTCCAGCACGATTTTATACTTAATGTCTGGGGCATCCAATCCCGCATACAAATCGCAATCCCGCAAGCTTGCGGGATCGAGATCATCAATCCCGCGAATCCGCGGGATTTAAGGGACTGAAAAAATCATATTATTTCCTCTAAACTGTTATTTTTAAAATTGATATGTAAAAAAGACGATTTGATTTAGAAAATCTACGTATTTAATTATTTTTAATTAGGTTGACTTCTTTGAGAATATTTCCGAAGGAATGATAAAGACTTTAAAGTTGAGTCTTTTAAATTCGATCTTATTTTTAGCATATTTGATTTTGGTGATTATGCATAGTTTC